TGAATGTTTAAACTTTACCTCAGGAATGATATATTGTTCAACGCTTAATGATGATGTTCATTTATATGTACCTCTAATCAAATTCCAAATACTAAAACTCATAAATATGTACATAGTGGTTCCCGAAATATGCACTAATTTATAAGTCAGTGAATGTAGAATATCTAGCGGTATTTACGCTTAACATCTTGCATGATAAAGTAAAATAACAGATCAATAAATGATTTTACTTCTTAGATTATAAACAACACATTGCACCCTAGTCTCATCTTGGTCTAAGTCAGTGAGCTCTCGAGGGCACAGTGCCACGAAGGAAATATATCATCAGTAACTATTGTCGTGTAATCTTTGTGAAGAATGAGCTGACGACGCAGACTAAGAATGCAAATTACGGTCATTAAACTACAACTTCCTGTATTTTAAAACAAATTACATGTTTTATTTTTACCTTATCCGAGTAAATTATTATTATCACTGTAATAATCACCCATATCATTATCACCAATATTCAGTTATTCTAATAGTACTAACAACGTTAACAGTGACATTAGAAGTATCATTATGGTTACTGTTATGATACTCATTATCATATTTGTAAATTTTACATATATCGTTATCACTGCCATACATATCGTAGAAGTGATAGCAGTATATCATCATTACCATCAATTACCATCATTCCCTTATATAACCAATCACCTTTTCTACGGCGCCAAAATGCCTTCCCCTCAACCATAAATCGGCCTGAGACATGCTAATATCTTCCTAGTTTCCGCCACCGGTGATTATTATAGTCAGTCCTTACAACTGGCCATGTGAGTTGTTTTCTTCGTCTTTTATTCTTCGTTGTTTGCAAATCCCCTAAGCTGGTTGCTAGGGGAGGGAGGTCGGCCTTTCCCCGCGTTGGCTGGTGACCTCTTCGCGCCTTCCCTTTCCTCTGGGTGTCCCTTCCGGCTTTTCCCCCCAGTACTTTCGATTTCTATTCTCATTTGAATTTTCTTTTCCTTTCTTCTGATTTTCTTCGTTTTCTCTTTCCTTTTCGTGCTTTGACATGTGTTTATAAAGCTTAAACACAAACACGGTTATAGATATATTTACACATATTTACGAACACATTTAGACGATATATGTTGCAACCATTAACGTAATACTGTAAGAATAATATTGATTCAAATCAGAAAAGTAAAAACGAAAGCTAACGCTATCGACAAACTCTAAAATCAAACAAAGAACCACAAACGTAAACGCAGACACCTTTTCCTCTTCTACATCAACGATCGGCATTTCCACCCCCTCCCCCTCCCCACTTACCCGTCTCCTCCCTCTCCCCCTCCCCCTTTTCCTCCCTCTCCCCCTTCCCTTCTCCTCCCTCTCCCCCCTTCCCCTTTTCCTCCCTCTCCCCGTCCCCCTTTTCCTTCCTCTCCTCCCTCCCCTTCCCCCTCCCTCTTTCCCCCTTCTCCTCCCTTTCCCCCTCCCCCTTCTCCTCCCTTTCCCCCTCCCCCTTCTCCTCCCTCTCCCCGTCCCCCTTTTCCTTCCTCTCCCCGCTTCCCCTTCTCCTCCCTCTCCCCGTCCCCCTTTTCCTTCCTCCCCTCCCTCCCCCTTTTCCTCCCTCTTCCCCTTCCCTTCTCCTCCCTCTTCCCCTTCCCTTCTCCTCCCTCTCCCCGCCCCCCTTTTCCTTCCTCCCCTCCCTCCCCCTTCTCCTCCCTCTTTCCCCTCTCCCCCTCCCCCTTCTCCTCCCTTTCCCCCGTCCCCCTTTTCCTCCCTCTTCTCCCTCCCCTTCCCTCCTCCCCCTCCCCGGGCCGAGACAGCACCCCGCGTCGGCCAGTAACCCCGAGGTCGCCGCCCACCATGTAATGTTTCCCTGTCGACCGCATTCTCGTTGCTGCGGTTACGGGCGCGGTTGCTGTCGCTCAATACTTTTGCAGAGCGGACGGTGGGTGCGCTGAACGTTCGGAAAGTTCTTTTATCGTGGTGAACTTGGTATTTTATCAGGTTTTTCTTTACCCTGAGTTTCTTTATTGGAATAATTGGGGTAAATTGGTCCCCGGTAACTTGGAAGCATTTGTGGTTGGCATCTCTCTGAATGGTATTTCCTGCGTTCTCTCTCAGAAAGCCGAGATCTGCGGCAGTGTTAAATGTGACGATATGATCTCAAAATCACACAGTTTCCCATGTCTTTTTCCCGAAGCAAGGGAATTTACCACGATAAAGACCTCAGGCTGGAGGGAAGGGCGGGGTTTACCAACCAATTTTGGGTTCCACTTCGGGTCAGAAAAAAGTCAGGTTGATTTCTTTCCTCATCGCAGCCTAAGGCGTGGCTCTGCCCTGCCCCGCACCCGCTCGTCGTCGCCAGGGACTGGGAGTAGCAACCTTAACTAAAAAATTGCCTGCTAGCAAACATGGACTTGACTTTCAGCATACTGCATATATATCTTGTTTTTAAAAAGATTTATCGTCAGTTGTTGACATCCATTCAGATGAAATGTATGCTGATACGTTCAGGATGTTGTATGGTTGCATAATAAAAATAATATATAAAGTAAAAACATAGAAGTCACTTACGGTATGTACTGAAAGCCCTCGACATAAAGAATGGACACATCAAGAATTCAGTAAGCCCTGATATATCCTTTAAATGCTATGTGTATATATGAATAACTCCCGTCCTCTTTTTCTCTTTCTCATTTACTAAGAGGAGTTTAGTCGGTTTTCAGATTTCGACACGCAACTCTTCCTGGAAATAAAGAGAACCAGTAACCGCTACTTCAACTCAGCGGCAACACGGGCATCTTGCTAGGGCCAGGAGGGCACAGCCTTAGAGACGGTTTTGCTTTGGTCAAGCGCGTCCCTCATAGGCAGTGTAGCGTTTCACGCTCGAGGCAAATAAATTGAAGATTATGTGTTTGCAAAATAAACCTCCTGGAATTAAATGACAAAAAAGGTTTCTGTCGGTTCACCAAATTCCTCTCAAATCATCCCGCCTCGCATGACAGGTACATCAGAAGCCTTTGTGGTGACACCACGGTGGCTTAATCGGCCGAAGGGCCTGTAAATGACATCTTAATTGCGAAACGGTGAACAAGCGCGCGCTTATTTTGCCCGAGCGGCGTCGCATTGACCTGCCAAGGTGACCCGGCGTCGCAGAGATCAGCAGGGTCAACCATTACCGTTACTGTGGCCCCTGTCAAGAAACCCGGGTATTTAGGACACACGATGGCTCAAGTAATCCGTTACTCACCAAAACTGGTCTACGACAGAGCGAATCACGTAACGCATGACTGGACGTGAATTGGCGACGTCCATGCAAGCTCATCTAATCTTCCCGATCTGTGGCCGACATACCAAGCACCACTAACACAAAAAAAAAAAATCATATAACTGAACAATACTCTCTTACTCTTTGTATTTACAAAAGAAGGGCTTTAAAAGTTAAAAAGGCAAAAGCTGCAGCGGTTAAGCGAAGAAAAAATCGTAAGTGTTGTGTTAGGATCATAGACCACGCCCACTTCCTGTGTTCGGGTGCATTTATGTCTTCACTTCCTACTCTTCCTCAAAGAGCTTGGCAGACAGTGCTTTGGTGCTTGAGGTCCTTTTTATGTGTAGCCGTAATGATTTTTATCTGAAACGTGTGAACCTTGCTGACAAGTAAGCGTCTATGCTATGTGGTATGAAAAATGTCGCATTTTGTTTATCAAAAATTGTGTACATTATTATGACGGTGATTAAAAGGTAGGGCATTATAACGTTTTACATGACGTCGGATAATGTAATTTGGTCAAACTAGTTCTCAACAAAAAAAATAACTTTAGATTGCTCAAAAACGTGCGAAAAAATCAAGAGGTTTTTCATTCCTTAGAGTGTAATTGTTCTGGGAAAGTGAGATTGTTATCCTAGCTGCGGCGGAGTTGTGGCTTTAGGAGCCATCTGCCTGCCTCGCGCCGCTTTACATTGCCGTCGGCTTCCGGTGCTTCGTGTGCGTCGAACATGTGTACGGTTTGCATTCCAGCCTTCTTGGTGGACTGACTACCTCTTTCCTGCCGTCCACGAATCATGGATCCTCATATAGATGTGTCTCTGTCTCTTTGTCTCTCTCTCTCTCTCTCTCTCTCTCTCTCTCTCTCTCTCTCTCTCTCTCTCTCTCTCTCTCTCTCTCTCTTTCTTTCTTTCTTCCCCTCTCTCTCTCTCTCTCTGTCTCTCTCTCATCAGCCGAAATAACAGTTAGACCGAAGTAAGACGTAGGCCGAATTAACACTTAGGCCAAAATAACACTTTAGCCAAAATAACACTCAGGCCAAAATAACACTTAGTCCGAAATAACACCACGGACGCCATAACAGCCGAAATAACACCCAGACCGTTAGAAGTTGAGATTCCAAAACGGCGCAGGAAACTTGACAATTTTTCTCACTCAGCGCTGTATTGTGCTGTGCCTTGGCCGGAAGTCACGTAATCAATCACAGCATCAATCTTCTATTATGGTAAATGAAGGCGTAAGAATTGTTATGCCATGATTGTTTTATTTTTTATGAGAAGAAGGAAAATAGATGCTCGTCGTTAAATGGTATTTTGGAGTGAGTAACAAATGCAAGAACAATAATGATAAAACTAATAATGATAGTTATGATAAAGATGACTGAAAGGATGGTATAAATGATAGAAGTAAGTATTTGATAATGATCATAAAAACTGTAATAATGTTGATGATAATGATAACAAGGATGACAATAACTATAATAATGATGATGATGATGATGATAATAATGATAATGATAATAATAATAATAACAATAATAATAATAATAATAATGATAATGATAATAATAATAATAATAATAATAATAATAATAACAACAATAATAATAATAATAATAATAATGATGATGATGATGATGATGATGATGATAATGATAATGATAATGATAATGATAATGATAATGATAATGATAATGATAATAATAATAATAATAATAATAATAATAATAATAACAATAAGGATAAGG